TGCTTTTGAGGTGGAATTACTACGTAATGTGTCACACGGTAGTCAGGTTACTTTTTTTTAAAGAAATGGAATGTTTAAAGAAAATAAACTCTTTCCCATGGGTACCAAGCACAAATTTATTATTATTATTATTATTATTATTATTAATAATAATAATAGATTAAAGTAAATATCTCAAAACAAGTAATATATCCAGGATCGTCACTAGAGATTTATGGAAAGTGGGGCTAAGCCTTTACTAGAGAAGTTCCATTTTAATGAAAATGACACACTATTTAGACTAATTTAGTGCATATTAGTGTTGGCTCAAGTCCCCCTAAAACAACCCTACTAACGCCCATGTAGGCCTATACATGTTTACAAACATGTAAAATGCAACATAAAGTAAAATGAAACATATGTCCCCTAATATAAAGGTTTTTAAAGCCTATTAAAAATAAGTAATTTAAAAATAAATATTAATAAAAATAAAAAGTCTAATTAGCTGACTTACCTGATAAGGCGTCTTTAAAATGAATATCACAAAGCTCCCACAAATAAAATAAAACAAAACAAACAATTTTAAAATTCCAAGAAAAACAGTGATGATGTAGTATTCGTCGAAAAAGTTTCCAGTTGTTACCATTTATAATGTCTTGCAGTTTAATTGGAGCAAACTGACTAAATCTAACTCTAAACTAACTGAATGAGTTCATGATGGCTAGGGACAGCTGATAGTCTGAACTGTAGTCCAGTTCCTGAAATGGACACTTAAGATCCTGACAAGGTTCTGTGGTCTCCGGAGTTGGGTGTAAACGTTAGGGGAGGTTGGACTTGCTGACACATTGTTTGACCGATACTAGGACAACCAACACCTTTTTATTTATTAAATAAGAACTTAAAAGAGATCTATAAAATACACTGTTTGTTGGGCTCACTTGCGCTCTATGGTGATTGACAAACAAACATTAAAAATTGAGCAGGAGTAACAGACCACAAGATGTCCCTTTCATCTATTCATCTGTTCATTCATTGATTGATTTATACAATTTTATTACTCTGAAGAAGTTACCAGAATGACCCTTTCATCAATCACATATGGATAATTATTTTATAATCCATCTATTGTGTTAGACGTGAGTGTGAAGTGGTAGTGTTGTTAAGTAAAGTGGTTGTGTTGTTAGGGCACATTAAAGTTTAAAATAAGTGTCTACAAGAGAATAAAAGAAGCAGTCAATTAAATTACCTCCATACTGCATTTAAGGTAAACAAATTCTGGGATCTCAATTCACAATTTGGAAGAATTGGATTGTGGGCAAATCCGGGCCCCAATCCTGGTTTCAGCATCATCATAGTGATGTGCACATGCACAGTAATCACATTGCAGGATGTGCAATGTCATGTAAGGCAAATTGACTCAAACACTTCTATGGTAAAACTTCTTTGTTGCTTTGATATGAAAAGATAACTCACACTGTTCTCATTTTCCAAGATTAATCTATAAGAAAAGTGTCTGATATAATACCAATTACTCTGATTTAAATGTTTTTGGATACATGGCATTTGTTGCTATTCAGTAACATGCAAGCTCTGCATGCACAGCGAACCAGCAATCTCAATTATGGCGGAGGTATGTGCAATATTAATATCGGCATCATAAGAACATAAGAACTATACAAACGAGAGGAGGCCATTCGGCCCATCGAGCTCGCTTGGGGAGAACTTAACTAATAGCTCAGAGATG